TGGGGCAGATCATGGTGGTCATGGGCCAACTCAAGCTGCTGCCAAGTTACCGGCGGTGGCAAATGCTGAGTACGGGCGCTTAGATCGAGACACGCGTGATCGGGAAGACGCGTACGAGATCGGTCCCGCACTCGAGTTTGCTCTCTGACCACCACCTCTTCTCAAGTTCAAACACCAACCAATCCCTCTTATACCGACATACCGGAAGTCCTGCACAAACATGGTAATGTACTCTCCTAACATATACACCACTTTCTGTCTGATCTGACCTGTAACCGTGTTGGACATCTAGTCTGCCTGGGAAGTTCGCCTCTCGACCTCTCGTGGTGTCCCCTACTTCTACAACACCGAGACGCGCGAGTCGATGTGGGAGGCACCGCCTGACCTCACCCAGGAGCAGATCGCTGCACTCCCTGGCGCGAGGCATTACCTACCGGGGGCGCATGGAAGCGCGAACGGGGAGCGCCCTGCCCAGGTCCGCGCTAGTCACCTGCTTGTGAAGCACCGGGGGAGCAGGAGGCCGAGCAGTTGGAAGGAGGTACGTGTTTGAGGCTCCTTGTCATTGTTCTTGGCACCCTATGCCTTCCCTCTTCTCCTGTGCCGTAGACGCTGTAGTGACGGCGTGAGGAGAGGCTAGGTCTTATACGGGTACAGAGGTACTGATCCTAGGCGTTCATGACGTAGCAAAATATCACCCGATCCAAGGAAGAGGCAATCGCTATGCTCAGGGAGTACGCGGCGCAGATTAACGGCGACCCAGAGAAGTTCGCGGAGCTCGCTTCCAAGTACAGCGACTGCAGCTCGCACTCGCACGGTGGAGACCTGGGTTTCTTCAAGCCGGTACGTCTGCACAATCGTCATTAGCCGTACACGTAGTGATGGATGGCGTATGTGTGTTCCAGGGCCAAATGCAGAGGCCGTTCGAAGAGGCGACGTATGCACTCAAGGTCGGCGAGATCAGTGACGTCGTCGACACGGACAGCGGCGTGCACCTCATTCTCCGCACGGCCTAAGCGCGATAGAGGAGCCGGATACGAGATATTAGATGAAGATGAAGTCGTCTCGCTTGTAACATATACATTGAGACCCCGGATGGAACGCGTTTCTGTTGTACCCTGATTCCGCATACTGAACAACTGCAAGACAACAGTATATCGACAACAGTATATTCAAAGCAACGAAGCGATGGTACAATAATGCGGTATGCGGCCGTCAGTCGAGTCCCAAATACGATATCCAAGCGTAAATGCGAATCCCTCAAACTAGATCATGGCCCTGCATCTCCTCGTATTTCTTGGGGTTGATATCGGTACGCGTCTTCTCTGCGACTTCGCGGTCAAAGTCCCAGGATGCCTTCAGGCCAACGCGCTGCGAGTAGGGCGGTAAATAATGCGAAATGCTGCAAGCGTGCGACTCGGCCTACCTCGAAGAAGTCCTTGATCTGCCAGTTGCCGCAATGTTCCAGATCGGTGCCCTTGTCGCGCAGCGCGGCGTAGGACTTCTCCATCGCGATCGCAGCAGGAACTGCGTGATAGGATCAAGATGAGCCATTTGCTTACCGCTTACCATGGCAGAGGGAACGCAGACGTACTGAAGCCGGTACACGGGTAGATCGCGAGCTTGAACCCGAGACGCTTGCAGTCTTCCACAGTGTAGTTACCGGTGAGTCCATTGGGAAGGACATTGATCATGCACGGGTGGGGCGCGAGAGCCTTGACGAGCCGCTCTGCCTCTTCCTTTGTCCGCGGGCTCTCCATGAATGCGACGTCTGCACCCGCGTCCAGCGCAGCCTTCAGCCTCTTCACGCCCTCCTCGAACGCCTCCTCACCCGCTTTCTCGCCGCCAAACGTCGTCGCGTTCCGTGCGTCCGTACGCGCGATGATCAAAAAGTCGGGGTTCTGCCTCGCCCTGACCGCAGCGACGATGCGCTCCAGGTACGTCTCCATGTCCACCACGTCCTTCCCCGCGAGCTGGCCACAGCGCTTCGGAAACGTCTGGTCTTCGATATGGCACCCCGCGACCCCAGCGGCCTCGTACAGCGCAACGGTCCGCGCAACGTTGAGAGGGCCGCCGAACCCCGTGTCGGCGTCGGCGATGACGGGCGCATCGCAGACGTTGACGATCATGCGCGCGGTGTCGGCGAGCTCGACGCCGGTGATGACGGAGAGGTCGGGCTCGCCGATGACGGAGCCGGACGCGCCGCTGCCGGCGAGGTAGAGCGCGTCGAAGCCGGCGGCGTTGGCGATGTGGGCGGAGATGCCGTCGAATACTCCGGGGCAGATGATGCAGTCCTCTAAGCGGGGAGGTTCCGTGAATATGCGTCTAGAATGTGACGCGATTGGGAGGAAGACGCACTTTCTTTCATGAGCTGCCGCAGCTTCTTGGGCTGGTTGGTCTTGTATGCAACAGGGAGGTTCATGTTTGATCGTTCGTTCGTTAGGATGCCTTGGTACTACGGTATGTGTTTCTGGAGGAAAGGTCGAAGTTCGGGGAGAGTTGTGTTGCGGACATGTTCTTCAGAGCGAGGCTTGTATATGGCCCCGCGCGAGGTCATGATGTGATTTATTATTGGAACATAGTGGGGGCTGCTACGACTGTGCAATCGTGCATGCAAGTTGCTGAGGGGCGTGCGTCACCATGACATAGACTTTCCAAGATACGGGTGGATACTGGGGGCAAATGCTCATCGTGTCGTTGTGATGTACTATTCGTAGAATGTTGTGATTACTGGGCCGCTGTGTGTCGTGCAAGCGTGGTCAATTGGTTGCAGAGGGTCAAGTATTCGCTAGAGACGGTATATTGCACACCTTACTCGTATGTGTGTGTTTGGTTGAGGCCAATAGCTGTAGGAGACTTGGATTGATCGGAGCTGATGACGTCGTTGAATACAGTTCGGCGTCCTCCGGCGGGATTGACGCCTGTGCTGTCGGATGAGAAGCGCTGTGGCAACTTGAAGCGGAAGCCTGGACTAGGACCAGTGACAGCCATGGCACACGCTTTTTCCTTTTCTTTCTACCCACGCCAACTCTGGAACGTCTGGCACACTGACGCCTTGGACTCGACGTCGTTCTCATGGACCGCCTCGGTTCTCATCCTTTCCCTCGCCGGGCTGCTCTGGAGCTTATCGCGAAAGTCGTCCACGCGCGTTAGGACAAGTATAGGAACAAATGGAACTGCACCCGTATGTCCGCCCGAGCAACTCAAGGACGACCTCAAGGGCGCCGTCGCGAACGCATATGCGTTTGAGCGCGAGTTGACTGTGCCGTTCGATGTGGGCGACGTTCGCGTGGCCAAGATACTGATGCATCCGATAAAGGTGCGCGTACTCGTTCAGGGGCGCGCTCCCGCAAGCTCAACGAAAGCATGTAGAGCTGCCGCGGGACCTCTCTCCAGGAAGCGCGATATACGCCGGAAGGTCTAGCGGTATGTTTTTCTCCAAGCGCGCAACAAACTATTTGCCATTTGCGAATTGGCACAATGTCCGCACTTCTCCCGCGCGAAGTCATCTTAATCTTTGTCACGGGGACACGAGCATATCTTAGGCCCTCGCTCATGCTTACTCTTCCGTAGTACGATAGGAATTGGTGCATCATAGAGGCAGAGTCGCACACTATTATAACCGCACGAGAAGTTGGAAAGGTAGGACGATCGCTTCGGCCGCGCCTCAGTGTGCGTTTTTGTGGGGTTCTGCTTACCCGCTCGGCTATTGTAGATGGTCCTCATAACTCCCAAAGTTGAAGTAGATGCCGCTTCACCTTACGGCGGAAGGTTGACCGTATCGTTCCCCGCCGACTCGGAGTGCGAGACGTTCTCTGTGCCCCTAAATCCTACAGACGACCTCCTAGCCAGCTGGCCCGTGTACGTAATCGGGCATTTCGCCCCGCGCACCCTTACTGAGTGATCTGCACATCCAGCATCGAGGACTGCACTATGTTCGGCGAATATCTTGTCGAAGGCTGCGTCGTCTCCAGCACACTCGACGGGCCTGGGTCGCGCACGCCCTCTGAGGTGCTCTCCGACTATTTCGGGCGCGCAGTGCACCTCGTTATGAAGGGGCCCCGCCCGCGTGCGTGTCCGCCGACCCAGGCATTCCCGCAGCTGGAGGAGACGGCAAAATTCCAGGACGGGTATCCGTTCCTGGTCGCGAGCGAGGAGAGCGTAGAGGAGGTGCGCCGGGTCGTGAGTGCATTCGCACAGAATGAGAGTCCCGAAGCACGGATCGGCGGGATCGACCGCGAGCGCTGGAAAGGCGGAGGGGTGGAGATTGAGAGGTCCGTCGCGAGACTGACGTCCAAGGGCGACAGACGAGAACTAATGTATACGCGTACAGGTTCCGGCCTAATATCGTGTTCGGAGGTTCAGGGGTGCCGTTCGCCGAGGACATGTGGAGGCGCGTTCGCATCCACCCTTCCGAAGAATCAGATTCAATGGACGCATCTGCCGACGAGGCGCGCACATTCACCCTCGTCTCGAAATGCACGCGCTGCCTGGTCCGTCCCTTCGCACGCCCGCCAAAAATACCACGTTCTAATGCATCCCTCGTTTAGCTTCCGAACGTCGACATCACCACGGGCGCGCGCGACGCGGCGGTGCCGTACAAGGTGCTGCTCAAGTTCAGGCGGAATAAGGACCCGGCGCGGATGAGCAAGCCGTGCTTTGGGTGCAATGCCATCGTTGGTGGGACGGGCATCGTCCGCGTCGGTGACCGCGTCGAGGTGCTGGAGTGGGCGAGCGGGATCGGGGTATAGGTTTCGTTGCAGAGCGGATTGTGCATGGTTAGGACCTTGGAGGGCATGCTTAGCTTACATTGGGCGAGATAGCAACGCTAACACATATTACTGTAGATAGTTTGTTGGTGTAACGTAGGCTGCTCTGAACCCCTTTCTTGCTTGACAATGACATCCTAAACGGACGTTAGCTGGGTGCTGGCGGCCTCAGCGATCCTCAATTCGGATAACCAACTTAAGGCACATGAAAAAGTCGCATCTCAAAAGAGAGAGCTCTCTGTCGGGGAGTCGAACCCCGCTTTCGCGCGGCCATTAAAGGACATGACAGGCGCGTGTACTAACCGATATACTAACAGAGAGTTATCTATTGAAATTGTCAAAGACATATGTACCGCACTATCTCCGTTCAATACTCCTCCGAGCTCGACCATACTTGGGATCCGCAAGGTCTAAATACTGCTCGAGTTCGAGTCAGTGGACGATGCTGTCTCCCTCTGCTCGCCGTTTTCTTTCCTTGCTCCCTCGCCAGCGTTGCAGTACTGCCTTTTCTCTTGCTTCTCGCACGCCCAGTCTCTCCCGAACATCCAGCCTCCAGTTCCACGCATCACGCACTATGAGCACCCACCCGTCCCTCTCGCTCATCTCTACTCCCGGTGAGCATCCTACCATACCCACTCGCGATTGATCACCAAGAATACTCACGTGCGACCCTTGCATTGTGGACGCGATGGATGCATGAACAATGAACAGACGCGCCTGCTGCTGTGGGTCCGTACACCCAAGCCGTCCGCGTCGGCGACTTCATCTTCCTTTCCGGCTCGCTCGGACTGGACCCCGCCACGGGCAAGATGGTCAGTACACTCCGTCACCTGCTGACGCGTCGATCTTGCTCGGGCTCACTCAATGTCCTCATCGCGGTTCTCCAAATTGGCATATGTAGGTCGAGGGCGGCGTTGAGGCACAGGCGAGGCAGGCTCTTAAGAACATGAAGGCGATCATCGAGGCCTCTGGGAGCGAAATCGGCAAGGTCGTGAAGACTACCGTACGTCCCTCTTATACATTCACATTAGCGGTACCTCACTACATGGCCGTCCCGGGTATAGGTGTTCCTGCACTCGATGGACGACTTCAAGGCCGTGAACGCGGTCTACACCGAGTTCTTCGGCGAGCACAAGCCCGCGCGCTCGGCGGTGCAGGTCGCGCGCCTTCCGCTCGACGCGCTCTTTGAGATCGAGGGTATCGTCAGGTGCGTGTCGTTGTGATGTGGTTCTCGGCGCAGGCCAACGCGTAGCTAACGCGCCGCAAAGTGTTGCGTGAGGTGGATTGTGTGAAGAAGTCAACTACAAAGATCTGTGTATTCGCAGTGCTATCGATATACGTGTTATGTCATGCAGCTGTACGACTAGGTGAGGATGGGCCTGATTGGGCGCGTCGGTCTGTGCACGGTAGGTGGTGACTGACATTCTAGAGTGGTCCTCGTCGTTTTCCGTCGTGCGGCAGACCTTGGAAGGCTGAACTGTTAATACTGAACCTGTGTGGATTGTCCTGAGGTCATCCTACAGTACTGGGACACAGAGCGTATGAGATGATGGATCGTACTATGGCCTTGCCCCAAGGGTCCAGCCTGACGTTGCAGCGACTATCCATCGATATGTTTTGTTCAGAACGAGTCGTGAGATAGAGGCCCGATGGCATCTGTCCAAGAAAGGAATCGCATGTCCGCAGCCTCGCGATGAGCACGTTTAGCAACATTGTGCATTACAGCTTCGAGTCGGCATTGCCCTGCGGCCGCCTCGACGCTCGCAGAGACTTGATCTTGACACGACCCTCTTCAACCATCTGATACTCCAGCACACTCGTATTTCATTGCGAGCGTCAGATCTAGACTACTGCCATAGGGAAGGTCATCGACAGAATCTGCAAAGGTAGGTTCATATATCCGAGAATCCGGAGGCCATGTCCTGTGCAGCACGAGTACACGATTAATATTGTACATCTTACTGTCTTTTCCTTCTTAGTGACAGGATCACACTCACGATCATGTCGATCGAGCCGTTGTTCGAGACCGCAATCAACGTGATATACAACCTCGGCCCCCAAGGGGACGGAGATGCCCCAGAATCACCACAGACGGGCGTTGGTTACAATCTCCGACCCGGGCGTACTTACTACGGCCAACTGGAGGGGGACGACTCATCAGGAGGTCCCAGCGGTTCAAGGTTGAGACACTCACAAGCGTCCGTGCGCTCACGAAGTAGAGGGCAGTCTTGTGGGTCCCGTTCGTTCCAATCATTGACGATCGTTTGCACTCACTAGGTATATATTGCGTGATTTCGAATAGCCTCGCGGTCCTCGACACCTCCTACTTTGGTAGTGCACCGGCATCCTGCGTGGAGGCCGCCCGAATTCTGGGACAGTATCATACATAAGGGTGACCTCGGACGTGTCCTGAAAGAGCCTGTCATCAGTATTTCCGATGAGTCCTCAGAGGAGGAAGAGAGAGAAGACGATGGCGTGCCTGCGGACCAACGGAGTCCCGTCCGCGTTTACAAGATCGCACCGCCTGCGGCGGAGATCGAGGACGAGGACATGGACAAGGAGCTCCCTCAGACAGACGAGGCCAGCCGCTTTCCGACACCGGACGAGAAAGACGACGCTGACGATATCAACATGGCCGATCTCCGTGTGAAGGAAACGGACGAGAACGCACAGGCCGGTACTACAAGACGGAAAGCCCCCAGTGCGATGTTGCAGCGCGAGCCTATGAGGGGCCACAGGCCACAGGTGCGTGGTGATATCCTTTATGCGCACTAAAGGCGTTCACGGTCATCCTCTGTAGCCTCCCCCTGCGCTACGGGTCTCGTCCCGGGGCCTTCGTAAGGAGTTCCCCAAGGAAGATTTTGCGCTAGGGTATACCTGCCTCCCTGACAAGATGATTAGGTGGGGTTTCCGCTGTTTTCGCTGTCCGGGCGCACCGGTATGTGCATCGATATTTGCCACGCCGTGGAACAAGGTGCGCTGACTGCCTACAGCTCCTCTCAGGCCATAATGTAGGCCTATGCACCACTAACTTCGTGAATCACCTTCGGAGCGCTAGGCACCGCAAGGCATCCCTCGCCAGCAAGGGCGCTAGCGAGATGTGCAGCGATGCCAGACTATCCGACCATGTACCTGCATTTCACGGATCAAGCGCGAGCGGCCCGCCGAGCAGCATCTCTTCTGGTTCTACGAATACAGACAGCTCCGCTGCTTCATCGTCCCAGTCCGTAGCCAACATACTGGCAGCCGCTGTGCAGTACTGCGACAGGAGGCCGCTTACGGAGACTCCGAGAGAAGGTGTCCAGGCTGCTCTTCCCCAGCCCCACCCCCAAGACGACGTTGAAGATTTTCTACGCTCCGTTGGTCTTTCGCCCGCACTGGCAGGCCCGCTGCGCGAGGCGGGGATCAGCGACCGCGCCCGAATGCGCGCCTTGGGAAGTCTGCCGGATGCGGACTTCCAGCCGGTTGACGACTTTCTGAAGGCGGCGGGCCTCGATACGGTTGCCCGCGTGCTGGTGAAGAGCGGATTGAGGAGATGTGCGCGCGCTACGGGGACGGGCGGGGTTGCTGGTGCGTAAACTAGTTGGCTTCGTATGTGTATCCGGGTATTATTGAGGACGTGTGTGATTGAGGAAGATCGTGTATACTAATGCTACGGCACGGCTTTGTAGTCTTAGTTATCAACTTTCGTGTTGGAAATTACCACCGGATTGATGTAAGGGTGGCCTGTGTCAGTGGGCCTATGGCTATGTATATTCATCGCAATAACGCCTACAGACTCTACAGCTATAGCACAGAAGAGATGCCTGGATATGCCGTCGACGATTTCGTTCTTCCCGTCATGCTACTAAAGCGGGTGACATTGCTTATGTTACATCCTCCGATTCTGTTATCTATATTGAGATACCTTCCGCAGTTGTCTGCACCCCGATTCAACCTCCCTTTCTCAACTCAGAATACTGTACCGTCGCTCTCGATGTCAATCGGGGGACCACCCGTGGCAGGGCGCTTCTGCTTCGCGATTTCGCGCCCACCCTTCCAGGTCGCGCTTTCCAGTACCTGAGCAAGCGTGAGTTGTTCGCGCGTGAGGCCGAGCTGCTTGCGGATCTCATCGGCGATTCTGTCTCTGTAGCACGATAAGGCACATTTGTCGTCAATACTCTGTGTACCCCCATAAACGTCGTAGAACGATGTTAACGTACAGCTCGATCACAGTCATAGCTCGCCATTCAATGATTGCTGGGTGCGACGGGGGTAGCTTCGGGATGCCAGAGTTGGGGTCAGGGTATAGCGAGGCATCAAGGGCTCCTGGACGAAGAGACAACACGCCCAGGTCGACCAGCAGCCCGCCTGCGAAGGAAGCCGTCGTCAGTTCGATACGGCACACCTTTCAGCAATCGGTGGTATACTCACCGTTCCTGTACTCGGGCAAGCCGGTCATATGTTCCAGGCCCTCAAACTTCCATCCGAGGACCTTCTCCATGGGCTCGACGAGGCTGTACGTGATCCATCCGGTGAGCTTGTGGAAAGGGACCAGCTCGTCGCCTTCGGCTTGGGCGTGCTTCTTGAGCGCGTTGCACGGCCACACGTCGCCCAGGGAGATGCCCCCGAGAGAGGTGCGCGTGGCAGGCCAGATCGGCGCGAGCCCGTCGATAAGCGCGGTCCAGAGCGCGAAGATGTGAACGCGGCGCGCGTCGCTGCTCGCGTCTTGCTTGGAGCCGGCCTCAAGGAAATCTGCGAGTAGAGACGTTTAGCACAATAGCATAATAACATTAGAGGATGGTACTGTTGAGACAGTGCTCACCGACGAGGTTGCCAGGACGAGGGGAGTCGCCAAAGTAGGTTGTGTTGGCCTTAAGAGCTTTGCTCAGGTTCACCAGAAGGGATGTTCGCCCTTCAAGGCCAACCATTGGGTTGGACTCGGAGACCTGCATAGCAGAGGCGACCTTCGGAACTGTGAGGCGCGCAAGGCCTTCCGCTATTCGACACCAATCAATAAAGGGGTTGCAGGGGATAGAGCATCTCACGAACCATCTACTTGATGCGGGTTGTTGCTGTCACTGGAGAATAATCCTTGTTCAAACATCACAATGCTCGCAACGCCGAGGCCCTCTGAGCGCGAGAATGTATGGCCGGATATATCCTCCTTGTACGTCCACGCATTGCCGGCACCAGCATCGAGGAGAACGGATACCAGGAATAGATCGATGAGACGGCGGCTGATCTCCTTCGTATCGGGAGGGTTCGGAGACGACTTCCACTTCTCAATCAAAGGTTGTACTCGAGGTCGTCCTGCATCCAAGTGCCTCCACCTTCCGTG